GGTGGTGGTGGTGGTGGTGGTAGTGGTGGTGTGCGGTAGAAGACCTCACAGCTTGAGTATTGAAGTAAAGCATGATGTTGCTGAAGAAAAGCTGTCACACTAAAATCTCTGAGAGTGAGCACAGCTTCACATTTAGCTTCTGTCCAAGAGACTAAAGTTCAGGAATAACATTGGCTATGCTCTACTAGTGCTTCAGGGGACATCAATCACTATGCTCTTGCTTAATTTTATTGCCACAGAGACAATATATGTTTAGTTATTGAGCATTATCTTCACATTGTAACACTGGACATTTCTTCTAATTGTTAGCAGTTTTCCCTTATATGTTATTATTCCATGAGTCACAGGGAAGAAGATTTCAAAGGGAAAGAAGGGAATACAGTCTTTCTTTACACCCACAGAGCATTCCATTCTTTTGTTCCCAGATTCCCCTATGGCAATTCATTATCTTCTTTGCCATTGGATAATTGGATATAGCATACATGAAACTCAAGTATTTGTTTGTTTTTGTTTTTTTGAGGCAGTTTCTCTGTGTATAGATATGGCTGTCCTGGAACTAGCTCCTTAGACCAGGCTGGCCTGGAACTCACAGAGATCTACCTGCCTCTGCTTCATGGGAAAATTCTTGACCTGTAAGAAACCCTTAAATTTCTGAGTTTGTTACTGTGAATGTGCTTTCTTTTACAACAGAATCAGAGATTACTCTTCTACTTTCACTAAATCATGCCCATGTCATCTAGACAGTCTCTGAAATGAAAATGCCTAACACTTATTGGTTGAGAACATTACTTGGAAGGAAACAGGACCCTGTAGAGTCACATTTTCTAGGGTCACATATTGGCTCATCAGCTCATTCTTGTAGTCACTCTAGGTAAGTCTATCAAAAGGTGGAAGGTTCAATCTAGTACAAGGGACAGGAGATGTGGCATTGTAGAGTTAGACAACTCTGTCACTCAGGTAGATGTACAAGTGATAGTGGGGACACAGAAAGAAATTCAAGACTGTGAACTAATAACATCACAAGATAAAAAGGAAATGTGAGAGAACAGAAGTGAATCTCCCCACACAGGTATTTACTGTAGCCTGTTTCCAATCTTTACCATACCTTACAAAGCAGTATTAATCATTAACCATCAAGAAAGGGAGAAATTGAAGTAGAGAGCTGTACAGCTTTGTGTCATTCCTATAGAATATGGGAGCAGAATTTACTTGGGTCGAAGGCTTTGTCACAACAAAACTGTTTTCTACCTAGTCCATCTGGTCAGTAAATCTAACTTCTGGGCAGGAAATCAACACTGGATCTCAGACAAAGTAGCTAATTTATACCTTAGTTTTCAAACCTGCTGATAAGGCAAAAATGCCTACCTAGATCCAGGTGCAGGGAAGTAGCTGGACTCTGCTAAGTCACTATTATCTCACCCCTGAATTACTCAATGCTTATTCCTCATGACAGAGATGTTCTTCCTTCAGGACTTTCACAATGAACAGCACACTTCAGACATCTGTGGTGCAATCCCAACACTTTCTGGATTTTCATCCTTGTAAATACCACAATAGTCCTGTATGTTGCTTTGGAGAGGCTTGTTTTATTTGTATATTCTACAAAAAAAAAAAAAAAAAAAAAAAAAAAAAAAAACATGACTTTGAAGACTTTTCTTTTGTAGATGAAGATTATTTGGAGCCAAGTACAGTACTCAAATGGGTTGATGGAAGGAAACAAAATTCTTAGTAACTGTGAAGTCACAGTTCATTTTCTTGTTATGTCTATAAACTTCTACTAAAAGTATAAATGCCAAATATTAATTGCCTTTATCCTTCGGGACTATACAAGATTGTGACAATAGAATAGCATATTAATTTGTCTCTGAATGGCACATAAACTCCAGTCAAACATAAAATACAAAACATACAATGAGTACTTTTAATTGTTGTATTTAAACTCTCCCTGACCGTTCCTATAATTGCAGTGTTTAAATGCTCTCTCACTGTCCCATACCACTTATGTGCAGCATAATTAAATGCTATCTTAACTCAGTAGAAAGAGGCCCAAGGGATGACATTTTATCTCCTCAAACTGCAAGTGTGAAAAAAAAAGTCCCTGTCTGAGAAGCATTCGCCCTTGTGATAGCTAGAGAACTGGGGAGCTCTCATGGACAGTCCACAGCACTCCTTCGGTTTAGTGAGTAAAACAAACAATCAAAAACAGATAGCAACATGATTTAATGGAGGGAACTTTCTTCCTTTCCATAAGTTTGGAATTTTGGTGATGTACTCTTCAGCCTGCAACCATCACTTCTTCCACACAAGGACAATATGTGGGATTTTTGTAATTTAATATATTTGAATTAAAAATATGCTTATGAAAAGGGGAATGTAGCAGTTACAGTGCTACTATATAGAACATTTCTATAAAAGTTTCTAGAAAAGGACAGAAGGCACTATTAATAAATCATGATAGAGTCAACAAAGTATCAGTGTATATAGTTAACATTTAATGAGTATTTTCCATAGGCTCATGTGCCAGGAATCATTTGGCAAATATATGCTATATAACTAACAATCATAAAATGTCAGTATGGAACATGTATCATCTCTCATGAGTCTGAGAGCAACTGATAAATTCTACATATGCTGACAGGAGCAGTTGGTCCCATTTAGTTGTACAGCCATGGTCACGTAAGTGTTTATAATGTTCTTGGCTGTGCTCCCTCATGTTTAGAAGCAGTTTGACTTTGAAGTAGTTGAATGAGTTACTTTTTCTAAATCTGTGTCAAGAATTAGAAAGTCAGCCAACATTTACCCTTATGGTAGAAACTTTCCAAGAGAAAATAAATTTACAAAAATTTGATGGATGTAGTGATGCATGCCTCTATTCTCAGCATTGAGGAGGCAGAGGCAGGTGGATCTCTCTGAATTTGAGGCTATGCTGGTCTACATAGCAATTTCCAGGGCAGCTAGGTAGTGTGATAGAGTGAGACACTACCTCAAAATTAACAGCAACAAACATAAAACATAAATAAAAGGAAAAAGAAATTCTCTAGCCTTGAATGAATAATCCCAAACTTTTGGCCAAAGCAAGTTACTAAGCTAAGAATACATGAGCAAATGTGGAGCAAAATGTGGAGATTTCAATTATTTGAGCTCCTGTTGCTGAATGGTAATGATTAGCTAGAGCTAGACACCATTTCCCTTATCATCTATGTGATGATATTTTATTTGTGTACCCCAATAAAGCTTATCTTGGGATCAGAGGAATAAGCCAGCCACTATATTAAACATAGATGTCAGACAGA